GAGAATAAGGCGGTCATGGTCAACATAACTGCCTGTCATCAAGGGTATATTCGACATTCAATATTGTTTAGTTTTAGGATAAACTTGTGTGCTTATTCCCAATCTGCCACATTAGCAGTTTGTTGTAGCCTCTTCAGCTATTTCAGCTTTAGGAACAATTTTGTCTTTCACATTCTTGATTTCCTTTTTCCAATATGAGATTTTCCCTTCAGAGTCTCCTTTTTCCGCTTGGGATTTTGTTGGAGCTTCTTGTTTCAGTCGATTCATCTTATTTATAATTTGTGAATTCTCTTTTTTCCTCTCTGTAGATATTCCTTTCCTTTGGATTTCATTTTTGCCTTTTCTTCAATGATAATTTAGTTTCTTTTGGGTTCACGGACATTTTGGGTACATAGTTTTGGCCTTATGAAAGGAAAGTGATGGAAAAGATTTCTCATATACGAGCCCCCAAAGTTATATCTGAAAATTTAAATTTTATGTCTTAGGTCATTGGCTCTATGTCGCGCTGGTCTTAATTAACATAAAAAATTATATTTATCTTGTTACTATTGGGAACAAATGTTGAACACCTTCTTATCAGAGAGGTGAATATATATCAAATACTTAATAGAGAGATGACATGATAAACAATGAACAAATAAAACATAGTCTGATGCAAGTTGGTAACTTGAATAATGCTTCTTCATTGGAATTTACTACAATCTGATATTAAATGTCCTCAACTATATGATTTTTAAATTTTTATGCTTAGAAACGAATTTTTCAGTACATTATTCATATCAACTCACTAAAGATCTATGCTTAGTCAACATGTGTGACTTAAAATATACGTTGGTATTGAAATGAGCGAAGCTGAAAGAGTTATTTCTTGTTTCATAAGGGGGTTGACACATATCCTAATAACTTCCTATAAGTATACCAAATAGTGTTGAATCCATCCCATTGTTTTAGTCAACTTTAGTTATTCAATTGGTACAAGCAATTGTTAAAAAAGAATAGTAATTGGAGTTGAAAATAAAAGATTTGGTAGTTGGCAAATTGGTAAGATTTGCAACCATTTTTGACTTTGCTATATTTACATATGTCATTAGTGACATAGGTATGGTTTTATCCTTCTATAAATAGAGAATTCTTGCTCATTTGTAGAACACACCAAGTTAGAGAGAAAAAAAACCATTTTTGAGAGCAAAGTGAGGTATTTCATAGACTATATAAGAAAATAGTCTGTGAAGAAAAATAGAGTGTGAGCGATATTTTAGTAAGACGGAAACCAAAAGAGTGTTGTTCCTTTTGAGTGTGTAGTAGTCACATTGAGTGTTGTATTCGTGACTACACATTGGAAAATTCCTTACTATAGTAATATCAGTTGCTCCTCTTGGCCCGTGGTTTTTTCCCTTATTTAGAAAGGTTTCCACGTAAATTTTTTGGTGTCGTTATTTTCTCATTTTATTTCCATTACTTTTACCATATATACTTTTGTGCTTGTCCACGTTTTCCTAACAAACTGGTATCAGAGCCAAGGTTTTATCTGAGTATGCTCTGTGGTTGCAGCACAGTCTGAACTTCCACATCAGAAAAGATTTACTTTGATTTGCGATAACTATATTTTTTGGGGAAAACAATGGAAGCCAACACAAGTAGAATGATTACTTTGAATGGTGTTAATTATACCATTTGGAAGGGGAAAATGGAAGATCAGCTTTATGTCAAGAATTATTATAAACCAGTATTTACCACTGTAAAGCCTGATAATATGACAGATGAAGAGTGGAATATGTTGCATAGACAGGTTTGTGGATTCATAAGGCAATGGGTCGACGATGATGTGTTGAACCATATCTCTGGAGAAACACATGCTCGAACCCTTTGGGAGCATCTTGAAAGTTTGTATGCTCGAAATACTGGCAACAACAAAATGTTCTTAATAAAGCAGATGTTGAGTTTGAAGTATCATGATGGCTCCGATGACAGACCATCTGAATAATTTTCAGGGGATTATGAATCAATTATCTGCTATGGGCATCAAATTTGATGAAGAAATTCAAGGCTTGCTTCTTCTTGGTTCCCTACCAGATTCTTGGGAAACATTTAGAATGTCATTGTCAAATTCTGCTCTGGATGGTGTAATCTCTATGGATTCCGCCAAGAGTAGTGTCTTGAACGAAGAGATGAGAAGAAAAACTCAAGGTTCCTCTTCATCGGATGTCCTGATAACTGGCCCTAGGGGGAGAAATTAAACTCGTAGTTCTCAGCATAGAGAATAAAATAGGAGCAAATCCAAAGGCAGACTTAAGGATATTGAGTGCTATCATTGTGGCATGAAAGGGCACACAAAGAAGTTCTGCAGGAAGTTGAAGAGGGAGAACAATAACAAAGAGGAAACTAAACAAGATGGCAATGAAAATGCCTAGCCACCGTCACCACCGAAGATCTTGTTACCGTTCTTGATACAAACATGATAAATATTGCTTGTGATGAGTCAAACTGGGTTGTGGACACTGGGGCCGCATCTCATATGACATCAAGGAAGGATTTTTTCTCTTCCTACACTCCTGGTGATTTTGGAACCTTGAGTATGGGTAATGAGACTGTTTCTAGGGTGGTTGGTATTGGTACAATTTGTTTGGAAACTAGTGTTGGAACTAAAATAGTTTTGAACAATGTGAAACATGCTCCTGATGTTCATCTGCACCTAATTCCTGTTGGTGTTTTAGATGATGAAAAATATGTTAGTACCAACGGTGATGGAAAATGGAAGCTCATTAAGGGTTCCTTGGTTGTGGCTCGTGGTAACAAACGTCGTGGTCTATACTGGACTACGGCCTCTGCTTGCGTTGATATGGTGAATGCGGTTGAGAGCGATAA